AAATTTGAATCATATTTCTGTTTGTAGATTTAACTTTTAAGTGAAAACAAAATGTGTATTCACCTTGCTGGTGTGGTGGGTTGTGATATTTAAGTAGTCAGATTAGGGATATGCCCCACAGATACCAGTCAGATTTTATATTTTTAGAACCAACTAATACACAGCTAACATTTGACACCAGATTCAGTCATATTACTTATGAGGCAAAATTTGACCCCTTTTGTGGGCGTGGCAGATGTATCACATTTAAGTGGTCAGATTAGGGGTTTGCCCCAATGAAACCAGTCAGATTTGATATTTTTAGAACCGTCTCATAATTAGCTAACATTTGACACCAATTTCAATCTTATTACTTATGAGGCATTTTTGGGCCCCCGGACACACTTTTTAGGGCAGTCAGAAAGGGGTGTGGCCCCATTTTTTCCGGTCAGATTTTACATTTTAAGATTCAGATATAGCACCACAACATTTCAAAACTATTTCTGATCGTATTACTTATGATGCAAATTTTGACCTTTTTTGTGGGCGTGGCAGATCGAGCAGATTTTAAGTGGTCAGATTAGGGATATGCCCCACTGAAACCAGTCAGATTTGATATTTTTAAAATCGGCTCGTACATAGCTAACATTTGGCACCAATTTCAACTATATTACTTATGAGGCAAATTTTGGCCCCCGTCAGTACTTTTTAAGGCAGTCAGAAAAGGGCATGGCCCCACTTTTTCTGGTCAGATTTATATTTTTTATATTCATACATTGTATGGCAACATTTTAGAAATAATTCTGATCCTATTACTTATGAGGCAAATTTTAGTTCTTTTTGGCCCTTTTTATCTGCCCCTCCCAGCCAAATGCCCCACTGAAACCTCGTAAGACTGGGTGTTTTGAATTTGCCCTATCAATAGCTGCCAATTGATATAGTCAAACCTTCTATTACTTATGAGGCAGTTTTTTCGTCACTGGCTCTTGGTCTATTACGACGGGTTTACGATACATCTACACGTTCCGAAATACGTAGACCAGCCACGAAAGTTTTTGACAAACAAAAACGTTCGTGATCGCGCTACTAACTGCTACAATACGAATGTTTAAGAACCAAATAACAATCATCAACGAACATCAAGAACCGTCTACGATTTATCTACGAATCGGAAAAAGTGGGCTATGAATGTCATGAATTGTCCCGAATCCAAACTTTTACCATTGCCCAGTGACAACATCTACCAGGACTACGACGAAGTACGGCTTCGGCAGCGATCGATGGCTTTTTGTAATGTTCAGGACCCCAAGAATATTCCGAATTGCCACAAATAGGGCCGAACATCGTAAACTTTTCCTAGCTTTATCGGCATTATTTGTGGAGATTGTAGGATATTCGTAAAGAATTTGGCTTACTCTTAACCGAATCGCTACAATCCGTAGATGATTGTTTCATTTCGTACCTTTATCGTAACCCTATCTGGAAATTTGACATATTTTTCACCGGATCACCCAAGAGTTATCCTAACTCTTTCGTACATTATTCATAACTGCTTCGTAATTTTTTCTTTTTTTGCCAAATCGCCACGAATTTCAATTAATTTCGATCCGGCACTATTCAGGCGCTTCTTGGTATTCGTAGCCCACGTGAAAGTCAGGTATAAGTTTTTAAATTATCTGTCCGCATTATCAAATTGTGGTAAAATTAAATGTTGCCGGTCTTACCATGGATGGATCGACCAAACTCAACCAATATGCCCATGTTGCCAGAAAAGTATCTCAGCTTGTGCTTTTCATGCAAAACATGAATTCCCCATGCTATTACCGCCTATATAAAGCTGTCAAACATCATGGACTTCATGGTCCCCTCCTTTGCTCTCAAAGTGGGGAAAACCGAGTGCAGAGCCGTGATAAAATATATTATTCACTTGAAAAAGTTAACGCCAAAGCCAATTCATGAATACATGACACTAACATTAGGTGACAATGCCCCTCAGTACATTACATGTACAACCAAACAGTGATGTGCTAAATTTACAAGGGACAGGATCACAACTAAAGACGAACCACTTTCTGGTCATCCTTGTGAAGCGACCATCCAAGATAAAGTTCATGCTTTTCTCGACACAATAATACAGGGCAGGCGAGTAACTGTTATGATAGTTAGCTGCTGAACATGCCATTAGCAAAACATCAGGGGAAAGAATAATCCACGAACATCTGCACATGAACAAAATGTCTGCCCGCTGGGTGCCCAGAAGGGTTCCACCATAAATGATCCATATTACACAAATTAAAGAATAGAGCCAATGTAAACTTCGCCGAGATGTCTGGCGGCTCCAGAAAAATGTTTCAGTTCACACCTCCCAATAGGACTGTAGATTTAAGATTCTGTCTCACCCATCCTATTATCTAGATCTAGCTCCCTCTAGCTTCTTCCTCTTCCCACAGCGCTAATCTGTCCTTGGAGTTTTAGGGTCACGTGACAGAGTTTTTCTGACGAGTTGAATAACTGGAGAAGTAAAAGGGGGATTGGAAAAATTCGATATTTCATTGATAGTGACGCGACTAAAATGTTGGTAAACACTATGGTTACATCAAGACTCGACTACTGTAATTCATTTTCTGACAATCTACCTGAAAATAAAATCAAACGACTTCAGAAACTTCAAAATAAAGCAGCTCGGATCATAACCAAGATTAAACCAAATGAACATATGGCACCAATTCTGAAAGATCTCCATTGGCTTCCAGTCCGTCTATGTTAAAATACTGTCTATTGCGTATTCTACTCTAAATGACGATTCTTCACCTCAATACCTTAGAGACCTTCTCAGCACCAATAAACCCTGCAAAACCCTTCTCTCACAATCAGACAACCTCTTAAACATGCATTATGCAAGAGCAAAATCTGCTTATTACATGTCTTTCTTTAGGCCTGAAATGTTATCTAAATTATCAATTAGGCATTAATTAACTTATCCAGATAATAATAAACTCTCGATGTCAAGGCAAGCCTTCGATTTTGGCTGGATTAGATTCCTATGTGCCGCTAACGGCTATTGATAATTAAATCAGAAAAAGTGGATAATCGAGACTATGCTGTTTATATTAATGATTTTAGTAATGATGACCGAGACTATGCAAAAATTCCACCCGCTTCTTTCTCGGCTCATAGTGGATCAATTTGACTGAAATTTCCAGCAAATTACCTTTACACTATCTAGTTTTTAACTATTATAGCGAGAACTGCCATCTCTTTATCTTATCTCCCATAATGTATCTTTAATTAAGCCTTTTTCAAAAACCAACTCCGGTGATAGATCTTTCGCAGTCGGTGCTCCAAAGTTATGGAATTAATTATCAAACGAAACCAAAAGCCCAAATTCTATTAATTTTTTTAAAAAGTATCTCTAAACCGAACTTTTTAAATCAAATATATACAACTGGTTGAATACGGTTCTAGCTGTGTTTGTGTCAGAATGTACTAAAATAATGTTCTCCGTTTATTTGGTTTTTTTTATGGATTGATGTGTTGATTGTTGTAATTTTATATTAGTTGTACTTATGTAAAGCGCTCGAGAGCAGCTCGCCGAGTTGAATTGTTGGCGCTATATAAATCAATTATATTATTAGGCCTATTATGTTGAAAAATAAGCATAAAAATTGTCATAGAGATCGCATATTATTTAGGGAGGCTGGAAACCTTTGGGACAACTCTCGTAGTTGAGACGTTCCCCTACTTTATTGCAGACATGGTTTATATGGATTTTGCCATTTGTAGTCTCAAACGCAAATTTCATAATTATTATCTATGATAAGTTTTAAGTTATTCAAAGTCTTATAATTAACTTTTTTCTGTGAGAACCAGACTGTTCTATATGGACATAGAACAGTCTGGATTGGTTGTAAGAATTTAGTCACAAATTCTTCTTAGATAATTGTTCCATCTCCAACCATGCCAAAGTTGAGATGGAAAAAATGTGATTTGCTATATTTTGACTAATAATAATAGAACCACAAAAATCCTTCTGTTTTCATTTGAATACTGAAAAAAAGTTCTGTCCTGAATCTCTGAACTCCATTTTCTCTAGGACACACTGCGGCTAGAATGTCCCGGTTTCGAATACGTACAGCGGCCTGGACCGAAAAGAACCGTTCGGATTACATGTTAGTTAAGCCCGATTCTCACATGTCGGGGGTGGCGCCAAGGGAGATCTGTCTAGTTGTTCAATTGACAACCATTGTTTATCGCAAAATGAGGGAAGTAATTGTGTTGACGAGGCGTTAAACCCCCATTTTATTTCTGAATCTATTTTTGATATAATTTTTTACCCAACCAGAAATTGTTTCCATTTGAATATAAATTTAACTAAATCGAAATCAAATTTCTGCAGTAAATGAGTAGAAATTGTGGATTTCTGATTCGTTTTGTCATAAATACTCCCTTATGGATTTTGTCGCGCTTTTTTTTCATAAGTGCCACGCTTCTGGCGTATACCAATAACGCCGCTTAAATTAGTGCCATTATTTCCATGCTGGTTATTCCTCTAAGAATTATAAGTAAACCTGTTTTAAATGTATCACCATTAAAAAGGTTATATGAACCGCTAGGGACCGCATGTAACATTCGGTTTTATTGGGCAAACTCGCACCCCATGCCTTTTGGTATTCGAGAACGGCTCACTAAATAAAAGAAAAATTGATATTGCACTTTCAATAATTATAAACGATTAAAAAGTATCGGCACTTAATATATCCCCTGATGTTAATGAAAGAAAGAAAGAATACAATTATATTAATGTTACTGCTACATTGCCAGATAACGTGAAGTGGAAATGAGATGAAAATTGATCGATAATTTAACTCTCTTGAGGTCATAGCTTTACGCTCGGACAATTGATAGTTCATCAATTATACAGCGTAGTAGACGTGCGTACGAGTTGCTGCCCCCTGTAACAAGGAATGGAATAGTCTCATCGCGGTGTTATATGGAAAACACACTACACATGGCGTATATAAAGGTTTACTCCTTCGGCTAGTCATGTCATTGAGAAGACAAACAGTATCATTAGAATGATTATAGCCATAAGGTAATGGAGACACGTGCATAATACCGAATTAATATATATGGTGTTTATAAAAGTCTACCGTTCTTCGAAGGAGCTTCCTCGGACTATTCACGTGGAATTGTTTGTACTATTACAAGGGGTTTGTTTTGGGTGTCGTCAAATATGAAGACTAGCGGATCATTAACAGGTGTGACCAGTGCTCTGGTTTTGGTGCTGATTTTGCAGACTGTTTATATAGAATGTGTGTATCGGGAATTGAATCTTCATATTAATACGTAAGTTTATACCCTCTATTCTATCTTTAACCAGCCTTTTTATTTTTTATTGTAAAAAATCAATATTTGTATAAGCAAATATAAACTCAGTCTATATATTAATGAAATGACTTCAAGGCTTGTGTTTATACTATGTGTGTAGATTACTAGAAGTAGATTTCATTGTTTACAATATTATAACGTTGATTAATAATAACATTTATCTGCTAGTCTTGTTTCCACTTTGGATGGCGTTCCTTTTAAAACTACAAATCAGATGATTGTTGCTCTTTTCAACTGAACTACAAATCAGATGATTGTTGCTCTTTTGAACTGAGTTATCAGCTGATTTTCTAATGGAAGTTAAAATATTATAAAATGCCTAATGCCGGTCTTTTGTATTGCTTCAAATGGTATATAAATTATTATTTAGACATTTATTTACAAGAGAAGCCAATAATCAATCAGTTCCTTTTGATCAGACTGAATAAAGTTGTAACTGCATATGCATAGTTATGAAAGATGTCATATGAGGCAGAGTATGCTGTTATTTTGTTTAATGATCAAACAAGATCTATCAATTATATTCATTTTGAAATATTAAGTGGAACCAGTAGATTTGTTTTCTAATTTTAGTTTCAATTTTTACTAAAACTGTGGACTTTTGAACACAAAATCAGTTAAATCTGTTAACATTGACTCCATCTGTGAACCTAAAATTTGAAATGTAACACAAAACACATCAACATCATATTAAATTCCGTTAGCACTTTTATTTTTGATCAAATCAAAGAGATCTAGTCATTTTAATAATTCTTAGCAAAACAGTTTTTCTGCAATTTTGAAATTTATTTGCGATAAATTATGGAGTAATTTACCATCTTTTAATAAAAGATCTAATAGCTATACAAGACAGGGTGTGTAGAATATATACTACATGTTTGGAACAGGTCTTTATTATGATAATGACAAACTTTTTAAATGCAAATCTAATGAAATGGAAAATGAACATTAGTATAGTACAATGACTGTATAATGTTATAATATACAATCTGCTTCACACTATTAAACTGTTATTTAAGAGTCTAATTTGATTTCTTTTCAAATTTGAAATAACTGGAAATTGTTAAATTATGTTATTAAAGACGCAGTATTTCTCCAATGTACTTAATTTTGAATAATATTGTAGTATTCTTATAGAAGCATTATGGAATCCATTTCCATGAAGACAAAATTAATTTTTATTAGATCAACCACCAATGAAAAATTTTTGCATATATTTATGGACTATTAAGATTCAGAATCTTGAAAGGTTTCGTAAAAAATGAAAATAAAATGTCTAAAATTGTACAAAATTCATCTTTGCAGGTATTATGCCATTGCCAGCATGAATTTTAATGAAGTAAATAAAAGAGCATGTTTCCATACAATTAAATTTTTTTTTAAATCAAACTTTCCTTTTGAAAAGAAAATGAAAATATTAATACACCAAATTTCGTATTTCAATATATATCATGGAAAACCCACATTGCTATATATCAATAGATCAATTTTGTTTGTACAACACTTTAATAATCTCTTATTGTGTACCCAAGTAACTAACTGAACTGGAAAACTATGATTACTGTCTTAACAACCAACTGATATAAATTAGACAGTCTGTGAAATCCGTCATCATTTTCATGTCCCGATTTATTTTCTTATTACTTCTTTTAAATTTTTACCATTAAACTACACACAGAATGTTGTTCATTAGATATTTAGTAACTACACACATAATGCTGTTAGATATTTAGTTTGTCAAACAACACACAGAATGTGGTTTATTACAGGTAGGTATTTAGTAACTACACACAGAATGCTGTTCATAAAATATTTAGTTTGTCCACAACTACACACAGAATGCTGTTCATAAGATATTTAGTAACTGCGCACATAATTTATTTAGTTTGTCAAACTACACACAGAATGCTGTTCATAAGATATTTAGTATAGAATGCTGTTCAATAAATATTTAGTAAATACATACAGAATGCTGTTAGTTATTTAGTTTTTCAAACTCCACACAGAATACTGTTCATAAGATAAGGTATTTAGTTTGTCTCAAACTACACACAGAATGCAGTATGCAAGAAGTGAGGGAGTGTAGCTTGCCGTGGAGGGACCCTGCACCTCCCCCCCACACACACCCCACACAAGATAATTTAGAAAATTTGACGGCCCAGACAGCTGTGCTACGGCCAGCTCTTACTTCAAATTCCAACTGTCAAGGGTTCTTCTACAGGGACACCAATATGTACATTGGACCTCGATTTTTCATCCAATCTAATGACTACTCGCTGTTTGTATCCATGCGCGTTTGCACTAAATACTTAGGAAGTTTTTCTTGGCCATAACCAAGATTCAACACTGGACCTCCTTGTTAGAGAGCTGATACCTTAATCATTGAGCCACCATGGCTCTCTCAGATTTATGAAATTGTTCCTGTTTTTATGGAAGAAAACCTCCCACTACATCCGGTCAGAGCTTCATGTAGTGAAGTATGAAAAAAACGAAACAAAATATTGATTTGTATTTTAATCAGATTGGCACTCTGTAAACTTTGCCAGTTTAAAGCTGCTAAATCGCTAATATTTGGGACCTAGAAATTGACCCAAATGGGTCGCAACGCATATAATAATGTAATCTGATTGTATATAAACTGATTTACATTCAATTGTTTCCTTTTTGACTCTAATTTCAAATCAGTTATGTCCAGCGAAAAACAGCATGTGTCTCAACCCTATAGCAATTTCTAGCGTCTGGTTATTCCAGTCTGTTAAGCAGGCTCTCCAGTTGAATATGTCTAGCCTCGTTCTTTCTGGTCACTTGTTGCAAATGACGCTAAAACGCACTATGGTACACGATTCGTGTACCAATGGTAAAATGTTTATTTTGTCTTAAATATTGGATATCAGAAGCCTGCCTTTTCCTGGTAAGATCACAACCTCAATGTTGATTTGAATTGACAAATAATTCGTATTTTCAACGTGTAAGACTTTGGATGATATTGAGTTAGAGACTTAGCTACTTAAAGTAATAATTTTGCAAGGTAAAACTAACAGAAACAACTATAACTAAAACCTACATATTAAAATATACAGTCTTGTCGTATCTACCGGTATATACATTATCCACACATATCAAAATACACAGTCTTATATTTTCCGATATATACATTATCGCATAATATAAAATGGATACCAAATTCATTATATACAAATAAAATATCATGGTTGTTGAAGCTAGTATCAACTATTTGAAAATGATTGATGTCTGTAGAAAGTTTGAAAACTTTTTAAGAACACTAAAATCTATAAGTTTCACATATTGAATGTTTTAAGTATATAAATATGTAATAATATTTTATATATACAACTAATAAAAAACAGCTCACCACAAAAGTTTACATGAAATATAAAATCAATTTGACAAGAGTTTTAAAGAGAATTTATGTCACCCAACAGAAAATGTAATTAATTTTATAATATCTTGTTCAAAATAACCTTACAATTCACGGTTATATTGAAAATCCAAGCCTAAAGAAGTTAATGTTCTCATGTAGTTTTGTGGACCCTTTCTCATGTAGTTTTGTGGACCCTTTCTCATGTAGTTTTGTGGACCCTTTCTCATGTAGTCATGTAGTTTTGTGGACCCTTTCTCATGTAGTAATGTAGTTTTGGGGATCCTTTCTCATCTTGATTTTATGGGGTTTTTTTTTGATGAATTGGCAAGATTGCAACATACTAAGGTTTGGTACTCGGGACGTACTCTTGAAAGCATAGGCGTAAGAGCCGGGGGAAGGGCTGTGGGGGCCCCAGATTTGGTGAAGCATCCATTTTTTGGGCAATGTATTTCCGTTTTTCAGGCACAAATATCAGAGAATGGGGAACATTAAGTTGTTTTTTGCTTAACATATTGTAAATTTATATTGTTGTGTAATTAATTGAAAATAAAAAAATAAACAACCATCACAGTTTTGTGGAAAATTCGTTTTAGTTCATGATTGATTCATTCTGAAAATTCGGGTGAGAAAGAAAGTTTTGGGGCAAATAGCCTCAGACCCCCCAACTGAGATTGGCCCAATATGCTTATGCTAGAAAGTGCCATTGACAGTCATTTTTTTCAAAATTTTACCGCCTCCAGGCCCAAGTCTATCCAAGCTTGAAAACCACTCAGTTCTATAATGCGTACAACTATACTGATATATATAATGTTTACGAAAACATCTATATTAGTGAATGAAGCTGCATTATTGTCAATTCAACATGCAAATGGAAAATTATTTTTATTCCAACTGACGAAGAAGGTCTTCTAAGGTTCCTTAAAGGAGTTATTTTGAAAATTCGGAAAATACACAGATATATAAATAAACTAGAAATATTCACTGATGTGTTAATTTTTCATCAATAAACATACTTAGTTTTATTAATATATATCAAAATGTAACATGTTGGTGGATATAAGAAATGAATATGTGCAAAAGTCATAGAATTGATGCTATAGAAAAGTTAATGATAAATAAACATAGGTCTCTAAATTATTAATTACTGAAGCCTGTCTAAATAAAACAATGGTAATTGCAAGGTTTATTTGCTGAATGGTGCAGTTATATGTACTGACCAGAACAGATAAATACAGCTCAATTTCTGATGAATGGAGTTTGATTTCACCGCTGTATAGCAAATACAGTTTTGGTTTATTTGCTGAATGGTGCAGTTATGAACCGGAATGGGTAGAATTGGCCCAATTGCTGATAAACGGAGCTCAATTTCCACTCCTGTCTAGCGCATTCACCTTTTGGGGATTAAAATAAAACAATGGTATTTTAGTGTGTTATTGCAAGGAGACTTTTTGTTTTTATATATAAACACTATTTTATTGAATTTTAGGATTGGGAAACAGGCAAAGCTTATATAATTCCTCTCCGAAGATTATATTTTGATTATTATTTATTTAAAGTTATTAAGAATGTTATTAAT